CGCTACGATTGGTCGGCGCCACGTGACCGGTATCTGATTGGCTTAAGTAGAAGGGGGGTGGAGTCCATCCATTTGTGGATTGGTTTGCCTCTTGACGCTTGAAATGTCTCAAAATTCACAAATAAGCGCAACGATTTACAAATGCACAGGGAGCTATCCACAAATGCATGCAGCGATCTACAAATGCACAGGACCTGATTCACAAATGAATGCCAGGCAAAGTTGTGTTTGTGACATAAAAATATATCTGTGAATATGTTTTTTATTTGCAAATCTCATTTTATTTTTTGTGTGAATTTAATTCTTGTTTGTGAAACTCTACGATTTATTTGTGGATCTCATTCTATTTATTTATCAATACATTTTATTTTTGTTAATCTCTTTACATTTATTTGTGGATCATAATGTATTTATTTGGAATTATGCAACGATTCTACCCCCATACATATTGTACGATTTTTTGTTGTTGTTAAATTAACAAAATCACTGGTAAATAAAACACACCTTAGTATCGATATTTTTGTTTGAATATCGATACTTTTGATACTCGCGTCAGTATCGATATATCGATACTTTGGATCGATACGCCCATCCCTAATACTTTGTCGCGCAGGCCATGGGTTCGAGTCCATCCCGCGTCGTGTGACTTGTTTCACATGTAACTAAAATTCCTCCATAACGCACAACAGTGTAGCTCGAATATTGTTGCAGGGGAAATTTGTCGGCGTATTCCCGTTTTCTGCGTCTTTTTCGCTTGCGTGCGGGGGCGTAAAGATTAGGCCCTTTCCTGCTAGCAGCCAGCATCTGAGCTAATTCCCCATCTTGCTAACCCCCATGAATATCTCAATTTATGTATATAATTATGATGGTACTAGCGTAATCGTTAGTTGTATTTCTTTTATATTAACATTTAGTCATTTAGCAGACGCTTCTATCCAAAGCGACTTACAAATGAGGACAATGGAAGCAATCAAAATCAACAAAAGAGCAATATGCAAGTGCTATGACAAGTCTCAGTTATTAACGCAATAAGTAAGTTAACAGTTGGCAAGTTTTTTTTTTCATACGCAGATTTCCTCTTATTGGTTTTATTATTACCATGTAACGTTATTAATGCATTCGACGTTTTTTACTTCAAGAAAGTCTAGAAATGACACGTTGTCAAATTAACGTCAAAAACCAACGGCATTTCCTGGTCTTATTTTACAGAAATATATATGTGAGTAAGTTACTTGTTACATTTTGTATGTACAATATAAGTATATTTATTATAATTACTATTCACATATTGTACCCTGTAAAAAGCTCCAGCTCAAGCTGCTGAGCATAGGTTCCTTCGATAGCTCAGTTGGTAGAGCGGAGGACTGTAGAGGACACATTGTAATCCTTAGGTCGCTGGTTCGAATCCGGCTCGAAGGAAATTAGCTTTTAGTTTATTTTCGTGGGTTTATGCGAACATTCAGTAGAGTTCAAGCATAAAATGTTCCTTCAATTGCAAACATAAGTCAGAAAACAACCCAAATGGCTGGCTCTGTGCACATTATGTTGCATTAAGATTTTGTGAAACAAGCAATATCCTATCTATATTCATGTAGAGTACAGTCACAGAGCAAATAAAATGTGTTATTTAAATGATTTCGATATCTACAGTTAAATACACAACATAAGATTGGCCCCTCTGTATTAATTGTGGCCCCTTTTGTGCCCCCCAGTTGAAAAAAAATCCTAGAATCGCCCCTGGTTATTTGAAAGCACTGTTAAATGTACAGAAATATCTGCATTTATTTTTATGTTATGCAAAATATAAATGCATAAAACAACTGCATATAATATGCACTCCAAAAATTGGCCTAAATTTAGAATTTATGAATTTGTTTTGCATATGACATTTCACACGACACACTTTTAACATAGACAAACTAATAAACCTATTGTGTTACATATTTGTCAGTCACACATAAATGGAACAAGTAAGCTTTCGGTAACAGTACTAATAAATGTTAATACTAGTAGACTTTTAACTCTTTAGACTGTTTTAAATACTAATAGACAGATGTACATATTTATAATCAATAAATCAAATTTCTTACCATCTCCCATTGCAGGTAATTGAATATTCCACAGCTATATTTTAACCATGTTCTTGGATGAATTGTTTTCACAATGAATAACTGGATGAATGACTGACAAATATGTGTCACATTACGTTTATTAGTTTATGTTAAAAATGTCCAAATGGATGAAAATGTTATATGGGAAATTTAAATGCAAAAATCTTAAATTTAGGCCCTGATATTTTTTGAGTGTACATAATATTATTTAAAAGGAGAATCATTCATCAGTTTTTATTACATTATCAGTTTTAATTCCACATGAAGCATAAGAATAATATAATATCTGTTATTTACAGACAGCATGGCTAAACAAAGCTTAAGAAGTTGAGTATTTTTAGCTTTCTCAGTCCTAACATAAACAGTATATTGTAAAAGACACCAATATATTCAAAAATAATTTTAAAATGAATATCTATCATCACTTTTTTCCATTTAGGTATATGTTCTGTGTCCATCACCGATCAGCTGGGTCTTCTCACTAGTATATTGTAAAAGACACCAATGTATTCAAAAAGAATTTTAAAATTAATATCTATCGTCACTTTTTTCCATTTAGGTATATGTTCTGTGTCCATCACCGATCAGCTGGGTCTTCTCACTAGTATATTGTAAAAGACACCAATGTATTCAAAAAGAATTTTAAAATTAATATCTATCGTCACTTTTTTCCATTTAGGTATATGTTCTGTGTCCATCACCGATCAGCTGGGTCTTCTCACTAGTATATTGTAAAAGACACCAATGTATTCAAAAAGAATTTTAAAATTAATATCTATCGTCACTTTTTTCCATTTAGGTATATGTTCTGTGTCCATCACCGATCAGCTGGGTCTTCTCACTAGCATTGGTTGGCTGCATCACAATCGGAGTGTCGCCATCTGGAAAACCAAAATCACAGGTAAAAGAGGTCACATATGTTAAATATGTAATATACAAGAGGTTACACCGTCTAATGCCATGCCATTTCACACTCCTAATTGAACTTCCTGCTGAAATGAAAAGTGTTTTGTACGCTCCAAGGACGTCCCAGCAATCTGCCGTTAGCCTGCCCCTGCTGGCTGCGCTTTTCTGACCTCATTGAGCTGGCTCAGTATCACTGGTTTGAAGGGCAGCCCACTGTCCACTGGCTTACCTAATGCTGAGAGTTTTCTGATTCGAAGACCACAGGGGTGGATTTTTAGAGACTACTTCAGCAGGATATGAAGTCTAGGAAACATTATTGTAGGAAACATTCATATGAATGCTATGAAACAGACAAAAATATGTTTTCAGGTAGCCTAAAAAGTCAGCTGCCAAAATATTATAATAGAATAGTTTTTACATGGTACACTAATATATATTATTTAAAGGGATAGTTCACCCAAAAATAAAAATTCTGTCATTAATTACTCGCCCTCATGTCGTTCCAAAGCTGTAAGAGCTTTGTTCATCTTCAAAACACAAATTAACTAGATGAAAGCAATGCAACTGGAATGTTCATCATTTTTGTTTTCTTTGCACACAAAAAGTATTCTCGCAGCTTCGTAAAGTTACGGTTGAACCACTGATGTCACATGGACTATTTTATGTTTCTGTGCCTTGAACATTCCAGTTGCACTGCTGTCTGTGCAGAGTCAGAAAGCTCTCGGATTTCATCAAAAACATCTTAATTAGTGTTCCGAAGATGAACGGTCTTACGGATTTGGAACAACATGAGGGTGAGTAATTAATGACAGAATTTTCATTTTTGGGTGAACTATCCCTTTAACGTGTAGGTAACACTAAAAGAGTAATTAGAGGAGTCTATGAAACATTAATTTTATTGATGTTTCTGTGTGTTACACTAATATAAATGTTATCAAACAGACAACAAAATACACAGTAAAAATATATATTCAGGTAACCAAAAAAAAATCTTGATTTTTGAAAGTATTATTGAATATGACTACTAAAATAATTTTTACACGGTAGAGTAATATATAATTAATATTATTTAATGTGTAATGTGGTGCTAGACTAATATAAATGCTTTGAAAGACAATAAAATACACTTAAAGTATAACCTAAATTAGCTCAAATATAATTTAATATGAATAATACAATTATTTGTATATGGTAGACTAATATATAATATAAATAATATTGTTTAATGTGTAGGGCATGACTTGGGTATCAGTCTATAAAATATATATATTGCATTTTTTTCTCGTGCTACACAAATATAAATGCTATAAAACAGGTGCCTGCTACTTCATTAGTATAAAAAAGCAGGATCTTGTGTGCTGTGTGTTCTCAGCTTGTCTAGGTGAATTCAAGTCAACTAAAATGGAAGCACAAGTCAACTTTGATTTGTCCACAGTGTATTTTTACATAGACGTAGCTTGAATCTAATATAAGACAAAACAAGGCTTTTTTTTGTCTGTACCATCTTGCGTGCTGCCTTTCAAATGCAGGGAAAGAAAACATTGTTTATTTTTATTGTGAGAATGCTATAAAAAACTAGTATGCAAACACACTTTGAGAAATGACTCAGACTGTAATTATCACTTTTGTGAGGGACTGCAGCACAAGATGTAAAAAACCTCCTACAGCTCACTGGCAGAACAACAGCACATTATATCCAAACATCTGGCTCAGAAGTATCAACTATTTATTTTTGTAAGTAGGATGAGTTATTACGTTAGTTGAACTTTCTTAAAAGCGCTTCCCTCAACTGATAAGCCATGATCTGCTACATCAAAGCTTGCTGTCCTTTTTAAGCAATTAATACATGTTTTAAATTAGAAAGTTATCATATAAAGCTATTTCGAAATTCATTTTAGAATGATTCAGTTGCACGATATGTAATATTTCAGTCTTTATAAAGTCTTTCCGCTTTCTATAGAACAATCTATTTTGAAAATTAACATTTAAGACATTTAGAAGATGCTGTTATCGAGAACAATACTCGATAACTATCCCAGTCATTTTGGGATGTGCTTCTTTTAACCATTTTCATCAATTTTTTTCTGGCTGTAGAGTGACTGAGGTGTGTTCTGTGCTCTAATGCTATTTCAAAACTGAGTGTGACCACCTAAAGAACACGTCAGCATGTCCTTTTACCTCTCTCGTTGTCCGTACGGATCTGCTCCTCCAGGTCTTCGGGAGACACATAGAACTCCGGGTCCTCTTCTCCAGGTGTGTGCGGTTTGCACTTCCCACAACAGCAGTTGAAACAGCAGCACAGACAACAACAGAAATAGCAACCTGTCAGCAAGCCACAGATGGCAAACAGACCCTATAAATGAGAATGTTCAAAATCAGACAGGCACACAGTGTCAGGGTTTAGTTTAGATAAAAATGCATTCAAAATATCGACATTACAGCATCTGTTATATAATATTATTTTAGAAAATTAAATAATTTACTTAGATATATTAAGTTAATACATAATAATATAACATGCATTTTATTATAATAGCAAAAACAGTATTAGCAATAGAAATTACTAACACAAATACTATAATATAAATATAAAATATAACTATTTAGTGAGTAGATGCATTTATATAAATTAGGATAACACTTTATTGACTTGTTCATTTTGCAATAATATTCTATGATTTATCTTTCAGAGTTAATATTACAATATTCTGTCTCATTCTGTCTTTTTATACACCTTTACGGATAACACTACAATTGGGTTCCATTAATCCTGATAATGAGTAATAGTGTGTAATTTTCCTTGTTAACGTGACATTGTAATTGTTCACTGTTAGTTAGCTAAGGTCGATTAAAAATTATGAACAGATACAACTTTTTAAATTAATAAATGTATAAGTAAATGTTGAATTGTTTTTAACAAAGATTAATAAAGGCTTTAGAAGTATTTTTGTTAGTCCATGTAGCTAATGTAAACACATTTTTGTTATAAAATAATATTTAAATATTTAAACAGTTAAAAAAAAAAATCACATAATTAGCTGCAAAAATATTATTTAATATGACCAATAAAATTATTTAAAATTTAAATTGTAGACTAATATATAATTTAATTAATATTATTTAAAGGGTTAGTTCACCCAAAAATGTAAATTCTGTCATTAATTACGCACCCTCGTGTTGTTCCAAACCTGTAAGATCTCTGTTCATCTTCGGAACACAAATGAAGATATTTTTGATTAATTCTGAGAGCTCTCTGACCCTCCCATAGACAGCAATGATATTACCACGATCAAGGTCCAGAAACATAGCAAGGAGATCTGTAAAATAATCCATGTGACATCAGGGGTTCAACCGTAATTTTACGAAGCTACGAGAATACTTTTTGTACGCAAAGAAAACAAAAATAACGACTTTATTCAACAATTCGTCTCCAGCCATTGTGGAGAATATCCACTGAATGTAAACAGCATATGCTATTCTGTGTCAGCTGCGTCACACGGATACATTTTCTACGTTATTTACGCTTTGATTTGAACGAAAACCACGTATCAGCATACGGTGCTGCTGACACAGAACAGCATACACTGTTTACGTTCAGTTGATACTCTCCAAAATGGCGCTATAGGGTGACGCGGAGGAGAAGAATTGTTGAATAAAGTCGTTATTTTTGTTTTCTTTGCATACAAAAAGTATTCTCATAGCTTTGTAAAATTACGGTTGAACCCCTGATGTCACATGGATTATTTTACCGATCTCCTTGCTATGTTGCTGGACCATGATCGCGGTAATTACATTGCTGTCTATGGGAGGGTCAGAGAGCTCTCAGAATTCATAAAAAATATCTTAATTTGTGTTCCGAAGATGAACAGAGATCTTACGGGTTTGGAACGACATGAGGGCGAGTAATTAATGACAGAATTTTCATTTTTGGGTGAACTAACCATTTATTGTGTAGATTACATCAACAGGAGTAGATTTCAAGGGTCATGTCAGGCAAAAATTGTTCCCTAAAGTGCAAATTTTTAATGTAAACAAAAAAAAGGATGATACCGCACCTTTGCCCACCAGCTGGAGAGCATAAAGTATGTGTTCACATTCTCCTCCCCAAACTGCTGCGACACATACAGACCCAGGGAGCCGTACTTGTCATAAATGTTCCTCTTAGTGACGTCAGACAGCACCGCATGAGCATTGTTGAGCTCTTTAAATTTGTCAGTGGCATCGGGGTTCTCTGGGTTCTTGTCAGGATGATATTTCAAAGCGAGCTTCCTAAAAAAAACAGGTGAGGACATTTAAAAATGAAAAATGTATTTGAAAAACTGACTGCTAAGAGCTGCACCAACCTGAGGATCATATAGAAGTCTTAGGAATGAAAATGTAAAGAAGGTGTTGAAAGACACTAAGATCAATGTAAATGTCAGGAAGTATATTTAAATGACCTTAGACATACAGAATCTCAGCGAGAATGTGCACTTTGACTTTTTTCTTTGTATTCCCCTAATAAGAGTGACATAAAACAACCATTAGCTTAAAAAAGTAAACACAAATACTTCTGGACTCGCACACAGTAAGAGGAGACTCATTAACATGTGGCAGTTTAAAATGCTGTCTGTCTGTTTGATGATCTCAGCAGGGTATGATCTTTTGCGGCTAGCTGTCTTATGCGCACGCTGCTTGACCTGTCTATGTGTCAGCAAGACCGCAGACCCCATTAGTGCCTCCAAAAGCTCCTCGGCACATGAGGGGTGGTGAAGAGAGGAACGTCACCAAGTCTGACATTTTTCCCATTAGAACCAGCAGTGCATTGCACATGTCTCTGTCTCTGACTCAGTTCAGGTCTGCTCTGAATGAATGGCAGCATGTCCAAACACTCTTCAAAAGTCTCTGCAGCAATAAGGAAGAGTTTGACATGTTATAATGCTGTGAAATGTAATATCCTTAAGCTCAAAATGGTTGTGGATGATCAGATAGCAAACTATAAATATTTATGGTATTTGTAAAAGGCGTGGAGTAGTATAAATCGATTAATACCAAAAAAAAAAAAAAAAAAGCCAAGAATTTTAATCTTAAAATCATTACATGAAAATAATCTCTATTTTTATTTTATTTTTTGCTGAACCAGAAACAAACAATTTAATCTCTAATTTATTATGCTCCGAGCACACTTGCTTGTTAATTTTTGATTAAGCCTATGGCGTCTGCAAGAGTTGTGATGATTATATATTCATTAACAGCAAACAAGTGCTGTTAAAATGCTAACCATTTAAATGCCTCCTTGAACAACGTGTCAGTTAGAACAATTAGACACTATAATTGTTGGAACATCAGTATGGTGTTAGAAATGAAGTTGTCTAATGAAGCTCTCTGACATCTTCGTGTTTTAGCATACAAGACAGAAACAGCACAGGTTGTGCATAAATTGCAGCCTTGAAAAACTGTATAATATAAAGCAGCCACAGAAAAGAAAAACTATTTACTGTCTTACATATACATTCTCCTATATGTATGACAAAGAATGATGCTATGAATTTTTTCTCCAGGTTTTCCCAGGTTGCCCTGCTCTGCTGCAGCATAACGTTTTGTTAAACAGACTGACAAGTGAAACCAACACGTTATGGCGTAAGCGTCAAGATATTACCACCAAAGGCAAGGTTGGCACGTTTCCAAGAAGCTATGTAAATTATAGTACAGAATTATTCACGCACACATCGTGCACCCCTGAACATGCTCTTGTATCTAAGATTCCTTCATCATTCCTGATCCCAGTAAAATAAGGGATGCCATCTGTTCAGCATAATGAATATTTTAGTTTTGTGGAAGTCATATTATATTCATGCAGCTCCACTGCAACTGAAGGCTGAGATTATAGAGGAATGAGTCGCAGTTTGGCACTTTCTCTATCCTTTGCTCCCTTGTTCACACCAAGTAGAATCCAAACTTCATACAGTAAATGCACCTTGGGACAAATAGGTTGTGAATCACGTCTTACCTGTAGGACCTCTTGATGTCATCATGAGTGCAGTTCTTGTCAAGGCCAAGAACCTGGTACAGAGCCTCTCCTGATGTGGACAGGGCCCGTTGCCTTTGTTCAGCCATGATCTTAAACCATTACCTTAACATCAAAAGAACAAAGAAACCGTTAATAAATTAGAGAAGACAGTAGGTCAGGTACAGTTGTCCTGGGTGGTGAACAAGATACAACCTATAGCTAGCAGTTTTTGGTTCCCAGAATGTTTATGGAATGCTATAATGGTTTAAAAATTTAGGTTGTCTAGATTGTAATCTAGGTTGTCACAAAAACAAAAAACTCCCTGCAAAATTCGGAGACCTAAAAAAAATAAGACCTAACAATAACCATTAGGGAACATTCTGAGTTGGTTCACTTTAGGCTGTCATGAAAACATCCCTGCAACATTCTGGGAAGGTTAGCTTTTGTTTATAAATCTAAATCCTAAAAATAACCATTAGTGAATGTTCGGTGTATAGGTTCCCTTGAGGTTGTCACAAACGGTGTAAAAAAAAAAAACTCCCTACAACGTTCTGGGAAAGTTAGCTTTTGATTTTTTGACAAAACATTCCCAGAACATTCTTTTTTTGTTCTGTGTTTGCAGGGCAATGACGTTTGGCTCGAGACTTACACCGTCACTCTTTCCACATCAACCCAGACCTGGTTGACTGTTTGTTTACATATGTTCAACAAGCAATCTCTCTGTTTATAAGAAAAGACATCCATTGGAAGTATATTGCAGAGAATATATATACAAACAAGAGTTTGACATGGATTCTCTGATAACCTCCAACCCTTGAATAATTCCATCTTTTGCAATGAGCCTTCATAGATTATTAACTAGTTCTAATTATACATATCTAATTATATCTCTGTTGAGCTTTACAATGGCTGACTGCAGAAGTAAGAAGCAAAAAAACTGCAATCACTAGTGCAATACTGCTCCAAATCCCACAGAAGATCATTCGTTTTCTTACCCGTTAACAGACTCCAAACTTAAGTCCTTCTCCAGGGCAGGTAGACAGGCTAATGGAGTCAGATTCCTTCTCTGAAGGTGAGTAGATTACTGAGGAGATGAATTATACATGGAACTAGTCATGGGCTCAGGTAACTTCAGGCCAGTTTAACATGGTTACCAACCAACAAGGTTCATTAGGTTTCAGTGCCTGAGCAGAGAGTGGAAGCTTTTGATGGAAGATGTTTGATGGATGAAGGATGTTATCTGCTAAAACCTGCACGATGAGGACTGGAGAGGATAATAGGTTAGGTTTTATGTCTATACAACTTTTTAGCTAGAGTCTTACATTGTATGCGTGCATGAATGCCCTCGAGTTTATGCATTTTCTTGCTGATGCAAGATCTCCATCTTGTGGTGTCCTTCTGCAATTGCTGTTTTCAATACCGTTGCGTGACAAACGTAGTGATGTCTAAATGCATATTCAACAAAACTACATTGCTTGTGCAAAAAACAACAACAAACAAAAAAAAATAAAAAAATTTTTTAACATAACTACAAAAGTCTAAGAATTAGTCGGGTCTAAAATAATAAAAATGAATGTCCAAAATGAACAGCGTGACCTCCACATTAACTCACTTCAGAGAATGTGCGCATGTCAGCAATATATTTCAGTATGCTAATATGAACAATGTTATTCATGTTTTGCTACTGTATATCGAAGTAAAGTTACGAAGTAAAATATATTTGTGAACAAACTGAAGTGTTTGTGAACTAAAAAAAACTCAAATTAATGTTGCTTTATTACATTTTAAATAAATACAAGACGATGCATAAAGCTAGAATGCTAGTACAAAATTTGTACTAAAGTTATGTTTTTAACATGAATTATTTTGTAACTCTAAAGGAGTACAATAGTATGACGAAAAAGTGACCAGACCAGAGATGCCGTCAAACAGAATTGATTAAATTAGCTACATAATGTTATCCACATATTTTTGTTTGTGTTTTTTCTCACAAATATAGTATGTTTTAAATCATAGGTTTTCAATCTATTTGTTAGACACCAAAAAATATCATGCTTGTGCAAGTGACCCCCCTCCTACAATTTTTAAGGGAGCTATATATTTTCTTGTTTAAACACCCAATTTATCCTGTAAAAACTGAATATTATGCATTTGTGTGAAATACATTTATTTGAAAGAAAATCATATTTTCTACTCACAATAGTAACGTTAGATGTAGAATTTATTATTTTAAGTCAAATGTTTATTATTTTTATTTTAATAAATATTCTTCTTCTTTTTTTCTTTTTTTTGTAAACTTTTCCCCAGACCCCAGTTTAAAACCCCTTGTTCTAAAGCAGGGTAAAAAAAAAAACTAGCACTTACCTTGTATCACCACAAGATGGCAACTGAGCACAAGTTTTATTCTACAAGCAGTTAATGGGAAAAACCTGCATACTTGTTGTATAGATAGTGTTTTAATCTTCAACACTCTTTTCACCCACCATTTTTAAAATGTCAGTCAAGTGCAAAAAAGTCAAATTTCTACATCTGTTTAAGTTATACATAGAAATTGTATGGGAAAAAGGCAGAACTGTCACATTCACATATCTTTTTCTTCTTTTTTTTCAAAACCACATGCAGCAGTCAAAACAACGGGGACGTCACCAGTGGGCCGGGTGATGTCAAGCAGCGGTATCAATTATGCCGGCGCTCCCCTTATTTATGGTCACCTGATGACTGCTGCATAGCACAGGGTGCATTGCAAGTGGATACATGGAGTCTCAAGGGGAATTAGCAGGTGTGCTGCTCACCACCCCTCATCATTGTCTCCTCAGGAGGCTGTTCCTGCAAAGCACGTCTGCCTGGGGAACAGCATTTGTAGCAAACTAAGCCTCAGAAACAAACCATTAATGAAATGATTGCCCCTCAGTCAGGAAATGTGAGACTCCCAAATGAGCAGTACGTGGGGCCAACGGTAGTGGACGGGAAGCGGTCCTTGACACTGATTAAACGGCATTGTAAAAGTAAATGAATGAACAGATCCGTTAATAACTACACCGGCAGATATAGGCATGATGCCAGACATCTTATCTTGTTAAGTGTGTTGTTTGCTTTCTCTGTTTAGTCCCAGTGTTTAAGTCACACTAACACCAGTAATATATCACCATAGATCAACAATAAATGCAAAAAATAATCTCAAAGGTTTTGTATAATATTTCCAAGAGGTTCTGGTGTGCACTGGGGTAAAGCACTCTAGTAATCTGTGTGATTTGGCAGTGTATATTCAGGATGCCTAGAAACAGATTAGGACTGCATGGTCTGGGGTTTGGTTGTGCAGAATTGTATTGTGAGCAATGGGGAGTGGGTAGGACGGAGCAATTATACTCACTACTGGCATATGGCCTTTGTTGCCATGGCACAGTTCACTATTGTCCCCTGGTCTCCAGCAACTCAAGTTAAAACATTTGACAACATTGCAAAGCTTTACAACTTAAATTGAAGAATTGAAATGACCCAGAGAGTGGGTTGAACTTGCACAGAGTGGGTCGAGCTTGATTATTTTGCTTAAATGTCTGCTTATGTGATTGCAAAAGAAAGGATAATGGTAAGAAAATGGCTCTACGCTTTAAAAAGTAAAGATTCCAAAAGGGGGGTTTTGCAGCAATGCCATAGATGAATCATTCTGGTTCCTCAAAGAACATTTCAGTGAACAGTTCTTAAAAGAACTCTTTTTTTCTTAATGTGAAGAACATTTATATAATAATCTGAAGAACATTTTCCACTATAAATAACCTTTTGTGCAATAAAAAGGTTCTACACTCTTAAAAATAAAGGTTCTTTATTGGGATTGATGGATCCATGAAGAATCTTTCACATCCATGGAACATTTCCATTGCACAAAAGGTTCTTTATAGTGGAAAAAAAGACCTTTAAATTATTAAAATGCTCTTCAAACTATAAAAATGGTTCTTTTAAGAACTGTTCATTGAAAGGTTCTTTGGTGAACTCAAAAATGGTTCTTGATGTTAAGGTTTATTTATGGAGCCATAGAAAACTAATAAAGAACTTTTATTTTTAACAGTGTATTTGTCTCACACAATTACCTTGAGGATGAATTTCAGTTAGTAAACCTAAGTGTAGGCTATACTTTTTCACATTCATATTTTTGTTGAAACTGTAGCAGACCATAAGCCTTAGTTCATGATTACGACTTGCGTTTCCATGCAAATTGTACCTCAGCACACAATGTGATACTTAGAGACTGCTATTGACTATGTGTTGTCATGCAGTTATCTGGTAATGCCTGACAACATGCATATTGTTTAAACTTACAAAGTTCTCTGTGGTACACGCTTATGTCTTAAGCAAACAAACACTTTAAAGGCAAAACTGGAAGAAAGAAATGAGCTCATGTAATATTCCTACTGTGTAATATACTAAGTGTAATCACACTCACAAAAGAAAAATAAACTTTTCCTTTGAGCATTTCTCCTCTTAAACCTGGCATTTTATATTATGAACATTGTTGGCTTTTTGACAAATTGCTTCTGTACCTCTTTGTAAGTGTCTTTGTATAAAAGCGCCTGCTTAAATCACATGGATCTGTCATAGGCCTACAGGTACGATAACATGAACGTTACATTTCACTGGATTATGTGTACTGTACATTTGATTGCCAGGTTTCTTTACCCTGCTAAAAAAATCAGCTTAAACCAGTGTATGAAGAGTGAAATTGTCTCTTTTTTTAACACGTTTACTAGTGGGTTTTATTATTGAGAGAATTTAACAGTGGCTCATTGCTCACGAATAACTGGATGACTCATACCGAGAAAAGGTCATCACTGGCAGTGATGTAGACCGGCTGCAGGGCAAACCCCGTTGTAGTGGAATACCCTTATTGAGGTCCGCACAGTCAGCGAACGAGTGCATAAATCAGTCTTGAAAGCAGCGCCAATGAGAATCGCCGTTTCAAAATCGCTGTACGGTGTAATCCAATGGGAACGGGCGTTACATGAACTGCTGCGCGCCTATTGGCTCAGAGAGACGAGGACGTTTTGCAAACGCTCTCTGTACAACCCCATCTCTTTCGCAGGTGGGTGCATGTTCGGAAACAGCTTGCAATGTTCAGGACTAACTGAGACTGTCGTATGTAATAAGCGTAATTTATTTCCCGTTTTGCGTTTTCTTTTTAACACTGACCGAACAGCATGTGCCAACACACACACGCACGGCGTGGTCGCGGGGCGTGTTTTTATTTCACCAAGGCCACTTTCTTCTGGTGAATATACAGCGCTGCATTGAGTGTGTGCTGAATTACGGGTGCTATCTGTGTGTCTGCATTTAGAAAAAATGAGAGAGGGAGAATAAATGTTCATGCAGCGCAGAGCTTGAATGAAACCCGTCGCTAAACGGATAGAAGTTCACGTACATTTATTTATATATTCGCCGGATCTCTCCGTTTTCTCCTCCAAGCATCGACATCGGGGTTTGAAGTGGTCATGCCTTTTGTTTTAATTTGGGAGACGAGACTGCGGAGCCATTTGCACGATGATGATGATTCACGACTGGACGGAGTTTAAAAAATGAGGAAGCATTTTTTTCTAAAGATACTAAAAAGATAGAGGAGAGGCCTCGTCGTCCCGCAGGCCGTGGTCTTTGCATGGGAAAAGGGAGAAGAAAGGAAGAAAAAACGAGCCTGATGAATAAAAATCGAGTGAAATGGAGCACGAGACACGCGCGTGGGGAAATATGGACCATATCAATAATGACGGCGGTGTGCGCGAGAACCAGATCGATCCGAACAAAATGAAGCACTTCGCCTCATGAGCATTTAAACTGATATTTTTTATTTGCAATTTAAAGGAGAGGGGATTCCCGTGCTTTTTGAGAGTTGCAAACAGCGCCCAAGTTCCGTGCAAGTTCTCCTCTCCGCCTTCTTGTGATTCCTTTGATTATTTTACTACTTTTTTTTCGGCGGGTTTGAATTATTTTTGATCCGGATCCATAGCGTTGATATTATTCAATGGAATTATGTTATCAGTTACCGGTTTTGCCTCTAGACAGGCCGGTTCCCAAACATGTTCTCAGCCGGAGGGGAGCCATTAGTTTCAGCTCCAGTTCCTCTTTATTCGGAGCCCCCGACCCGAGGCAGCTGTCACAGGTAAAGAACAAAACATCCTGGCTGTGTGTCAAAACCTAGCGAGCTGCCTACCTAGAGAATCAGATGCGCGTTCCGAACGTTGGTTCGAGTCATTCTGAACTATTCGAATGCTCGGAACGCGCGAATGTTGCTCAAACATTTAGCCTGCTGTAGAAATGGAACCGTTCTGGTTCCGATCTACTAGAAGGATTTATCAATCTAGACTGTTCTATAGATTTAGTACTTTTGAAGAAATAATTGGAGAAAGGAAATGTAGCCTAATTCAAGTTGCTTTTACTGCTCCGTTATCAAATGACTTTTTAATGAATGATAATGACACATTTAATCCATTTGTTAATTTATTTTAAAGAACACCGCAACAAAATTCATAATGTGTATGTTTAACTATTAGTTGTCATATGAACTATTTAGTAACCACAAGTCTCAGGTATCATAAGAACAGAATGACTGCGAAAGTGATTAGCGGGTCTGTTTATTTCAGCAGCCATTCAGACTGATTAGTGCTTTTGGTTCACGAAAAAGAACCGGATTGTAAGACTCATTTTCTGGGGAATCGGATTAGCCTACTGTATGTTTCGTGATGAAGATTCAGACTGTTTTAGCAAAGTATACACATTCGCGAATTGTTAACAAACCCGAACCTCTTAAAAATCTTCCAGTTCCGGTATTTTTTATTAATGAAACCGATTCTTGGTGCTCACCCCTACTATAGGCAGGCTGCTCGCAAGGTTTTGAGACGAGGCCCAATTTCTGTCCATGCTCAATTATTCTTGTGCTTGTTCAGGGCCTTGATTTATTTACTCAGAAGTCCCCAAGTGTCAGGGCTTTACGAGAGACAGCGTTATTTTCCCTAATTGTCTGTTGTCGCTGTCATACTGCGGTGTTGGCAACACAAAATATGTTTTGTTGTCCCTTTGGGCCACATGCTGACAGTCTTTTCAGGCTGAAAGCGTGTCACTCTCCCCCTCACACACACCATGTTTGAATTTGTTGGGGATTCTCTTGGACAGCCCTCTTGCAACTTGTTACTCAGTGTCCTTTGGGGAGATTTTAGGTGCTTCTCTGCTACTCTAACAAGCTGAATGATTCATCTGGTGTTTTTAACCCAGTAAGCCTGACGTGAAATAATAGTCAGAAAAGAATGTTTATTAAACCCTTTGTTTAAACAAGCTTGTATATGTGTATGTTCTGTATGACATTTGATGCATCAGTCTTTCATGGCTCATATAGTGAGAATATGGAGCTCACACATGTGAAGGAAAATACCTCAGAGATCCAAACTGAACAAAATTATGCAGTTTGGTGCTGATGTTATTGATATGGAGAAAAAGATAGAATTTTGGTGGCTTGTAATGTAAATAAATTAATTTTTATGACAATATAGCAGACTGCTTACATAATGCACATATCAGTTGTTGTCACTAGTTTTATGATTGAAACTCAGTAGTTTTTATTGTGGGGGCAAAACATATACTGCTTTGCAATACAATGATGATGCAATGAAGAACATTCCTGAAAAGCCTGTTGTATCATGTTTCATAAATACATTTTAACATGATTTGTCTAAAAAATATGGATGATCAAGTAAATCTAAGTGATACAATACATATGTTACCTGACCTAAAGGTGGATATTTTTAGAATTATAATAAAATAAATGAATTCAGAAAATGTAGATGTGTGTGCAACAGGTTTTTCAGCAAAGTTTTGATCATGTTCATAATTGATAGGCTTTAGTAATTCACATATGATACAGTACGCTTGAAAGGGTTAAGTAGCATTGCATCTCTTTCAACCATGTTGAAACAGATATAAAGTGTTGCATGCTTTTTAAAATAAATATCAAATGAAGCAGTAAAACAGTTGCTTACACGTTGAGTAATATAATGCTTTCATGTGCTAGATATCGAGTATAAAGGCGGTGCATACGCTTTTAAGATTAACTGTATTCTATCATCGGCCCGTACTGAATCTTTAATGAGAGATAACGCATATCTCCAGGTCAAAGGATTGTCACTCACTGTACTTGATAAAGTACATGATACATTTACTAGTCTTGCAGCAAGCTCACACAGTGAGAGATAACATGCTTAGCTAGTGAAAGAAGCCCTGCAGGGCTTCGAGGCCCAGAATTTAAGATGTAGTCAGTCAATAATAAGGGTCATGTCACCAAGCAACCGCTTGTATTGGGAGTTAGATTAGATAACCCTTCTGTCCAGAGTGTATTGCCTCAACTGCCCCTGGTTGTTTGAGTCTACCAGATGCTATCAGCATCTCTTAAGTCAATCATATGCAAATGTATTTGGCTACTGCTTTTCTAGTCAAACTAGTGATTGCTGATTGGTTGGAATTGTTATAAAGAACAACAATAACCGCATTAGCATTGTATCATAGATTTTCTTACTCTCCATCCTTACAGGTGTTCTGCCAGCAGAATAATTGTTTCCCTTGGTTTTTAACACAGTTTTGAGGTCCATTGGGAGTTTGACCCAGAATGCATTGTACGGTGGCCGCGAAGTGCAAAACAAATCACAATTCTGAAAACAAAATAACAAATTACAAACGCAAATCTAAAAAACAAAATAATTCAGAAAGCACAACAACAATTCAGAAAACATTATAACAAGTCAGAAAACACAACGACAAATCAGACAAACCGGAAAAGGTAGGTATAGTTTGAGACAGTGCCATTGGTTTGGGATTACTCACCGCTGACTGGATGAGACATCTGTCAATCAAAAAATACGGAGTGTCTATTTAGTTAAAAGTGGCCGTTAACCATCAGCTCCAGTGGTGCAGATGGATAAGTGCTAGTCCTTGGCATTTTGACATGATTGACCAAAAAAGTTCGGCAAAAGGTGGGATCGAACCTGGGTCGATCGCGTCAAAAAGCTAAGGGCAAGCGCTTAGCCATCTGCGCCACTGGAGCTGATGTTTTACAGCCACTTTTAATTAAATGTAAATAAACACCCCGTATTTTTTTATTCCATAGTAAGGGCAATTCATACAATACATTTAAACTGAGCTACTTTAATACCATCTCCGAACTTTCTACCACGACTCTGCTGTTCTTCGGCTGGTTCTTCTTGTATACGTTGATTGACAGATGTTTCGTCCAGTCAGCGGTGAGTAATCCCAAACCAATGGCGCTGTCTCAAACTATACCTACCTCTTCCGGTTTGTCTGATTTGTCGTCGTGTTTTCTGACTTGTTGATTTGTTTTCGGATTTGTCGTTGTGTTTTCTGACATGCTATTTTTTTCGAATTTGTCATTGTGTTTTCTGACTTGTTATAATGTTTTCTGAATTGTTTTTGTTGTGCTTTCTGAATTGTTATTTTGTTTTTTAGACTTGCATTTGCGTTTGTAATTTGTTATTTTGTTTTCAGAATTGTGATTTGCTTTGCACTTTTTTGCACCGTAGCATTGAGACCTATTTGCCTCTCTTAATGGCATTGCTTTGGCAAGCTTTGTGCAAAAAGCATTTGTCCCTTATCTCTGTCTGTTGCGTGCATGAGATTGACAGATGTTTCGTCCAGTCAGCGGTGAGTAATCCCAAACCAATGGCGCTGTCTCAAACTATACCTACCTCTTCCGGTTTGTCTGATTTGTCGTCGTGTTTTCTGACTTGTTGATTTGTTTTCGGATTTGTCGTTGTGTTTTCTGACATGCTATTTTTTTCGAATTTGTCATTGTGTTTTCTGACTTGTTATAATGTTTTCTGAATTGTTTTTGTTGTGCTTTCTGAATTGTTATTTTGTTTTTTAGACTTGCATTTGCGTTTGTAATTTGTTATTTTGTTTTCAGAATTGTGATTTGCTTTGCACTTTTTTGCACCGTAGCATTGAGACCTATTTGCCTCTCTTAATGGCATTGCTTTGGCAAGCTTTGTGCAAAAAGCATTTGTCCCTTATCTCTGTCTGTTATGTTGCGTGCATGAAAGCCCAGCAGCTACAACCGCCTTCTCTAAAAACACAATGCCTGACTAAGTGCCTCCCAGAGAGCTTGCTCTGAAATCCACCAAAGCTCTGCCTGGATTTTCACTGGAATTTCATCCGTGGGTGGAATGTTGGATAGACCCGGAGTGGCTCTTCTTGGCCCTCGGTCTTGACAAGTCCAGGCCTTTGTGCTCCCTCCGTATGGAAGGGCCGTGTATTTGGGATTTCTGTAGTGACGAATAAACTGGTCACATTCGCCAGCTTGTTCCTGACCCAGCTTGCAGTGCAGCCACTAGCTATGTAAAGATGAGATCAGCCAGGTCTTGGATTTGTAGCCCAGATTTCCACCAAGTTAAGGCCACCATTTCTAGTCATGTCATATGTATATTCAGTTTAAATGATTCCATACTTTGTTAAATTACTTGAAAATCTCAAGTGTTCTTTCCTGCATTGATGTTGGCTTTAGTAATGTCGCATTCATAAACCGTGCAAGTTGCTATTTCTAGTCATTGGCTGTTTGGCTTATTTGATAGGATAGCAATGTATAGTGCAAAATGAGTCATCAATATTTTAGCTCTGCTCATCTGAAAGACAGTGTTATAATTATATTTTATATGTATAATAAATATTTATTATCAGTAGTAGTAGAAGTAGGGCTGGGCGATATGTAAAAAATATCTTATCAATAACCGCCTTAAAAAATTTCACGATATCCGATAATATCATCTACCCAAGCCCCACCTCCACTACACCCTGCACCTCGCCGAGACAACATTGCCGGCATGCACCATAAACACACACCAGGTTCAGTTTGGTCTTAATTATTGCCACATTAAAGTTTAGCTTTACTTTTCTTAGTTTTTTCTTATCAAATTTGTGTTTGAAATTAATTTAATTTTGTGAGGAGAACTGTTGTGGAAAAATAATAGAACCCAATTGTAAGTTCATCATGGTGAAGTTGGACATTCTGGCGGTGATTGTAAGAATGATAAATGCATGTTGATATTAGGGCTGCACGATTAATCGAGTGCGATTGTCATGAGCATTTTGTTAGTAAAGCCGGTT